ATGTCCAGCATCATAACCATTTGGGAAAAGATCAAAACTCGATGACCAGTATCCTTCAAACGACACAGCAGTTTGTCCAACAGAATCAACTTGCCAGATGATTTTAGAAGTTGCTAAATATTTTTGTAGCAAATAGCATCATGAAGATGTTACAATGCAACATACCTGTAGCCGTGACTGTGGATCATTCTCGAAGTGGTCATATTGTCTCACCAAAGAAGTATGATTACAGCATTTCTTCAATTCCATAACAAGATTGACAAAGCCATTGATTGATCCTAAAGGGACATATTTTCCTAACTTTCATGGTTAAATGAAGTGCATTCTTCAAATGTTAAACATGATACAGAAGAATAATTTTCCTTTTTGAAGCTAGATTGAATCTTTATGACATTTCATTTTTGTAAAAAAAAAGAAGACCCGAACCGACAAGAAAGCACATGAAAAACGGACAACTGATTTCAGATCATAATAAGAACAACTTCTGAATTCCGGTATCCACCAAAATTAATTCTATTAGGACATTCAACGCTAATAGGTCAATGAGAAACTGGAAGAATAAAAATTGAAGAGAAGACTGTCCAAAATGTAGGGATAGGAGGATAAACCTTTCACTCCTTTGGATAATTCGCGATAGTTCTTGGTCAGTATCCATTTATAGTACTGCTTTTGTTGAGCGGTCATGTCAACTCGCAAGATCTGCTCCAACTAAAAATGCGAGTCTTGTGTTACAATTTCTGTACTAAATGAATATGGCAAGCCCAACCTTCGGTGGCAGACTTTTCTCCACATCTTTTTTTACTCGCCTCAACAGGAATGGTTCTAGCTTTCTATGAAGAGCAGCAATTCCCTTGTGGTCTCTGTCACTGTGACCACACTCGAACTCTGGCCAGCTATTGAACCTAAAAACAATCCAATGACTGTTCTAAACAAACAAAACAATTTCTGCAGATCTCATGTGAGTTAGCTAAGCATATACAGTGAGATACGGAGGAATGAAAGATCAATCAACCGCAAGCACAACAGTCTACTCTTACAATTAAGAAAAGAAAATGTATTCTACGATATGTTCCCGTATGTGTACTGGATAAAACAACCGCTACAACCAGAAAATCTTACTTTTCGGGCATAATAAAGTGAAGCAAAGCCCAAAGCTCCTTCAACGAATTTTGTAGAGGTGTTCCAGTAATCAGCAACCGGTGATCACAGTTGAAAGAAGATAGCGAGATATACAGCAACGATTCATCATTCTTTAATCTATGCGCTTCGTCAACAGCCAACGCCGCCCAGTGAAAGCCGCCCAAAAAAGGCTAAAAAACGACTTCGAGATTCAATAAACAATTGCTTCTTGCTTAATTTACCTTGTCTTT